GCCTGATTGCTCTCGGAACGGTCGTTCTGCTAAGTGGAGTGCTCTGTCTCTCGTGGCGATTGGAGATTATCGACAGCCATGCGTCTGTGACAGTCGTTGGCCCTTCTCAAACCGGATTGGGTCCCGGCATGGCTGTTGTTGAGGAGAACCCGCAATCTCCTCGGGAAGTTGGCGAAGGGGACGAAGAATTGCACATCGGAGAGCGACAGCCTCTCTTGCAGGCATCCCACCCGCCACACGGGTCCCCACATAGACGGACACCCAGTTTACCTTTGTTTTCATCGATTCCTCAACAAACCCCTACTGCTGACATTGACCCAGCCTCCATCTGGGCTGAGCTGGATGACTCGGACTACGAATACACCGGTACGGGTTCCCTCTGGCAACCCCGTCCTCGAAGCAGCACCCTGAGAGAAAGTGCTCTCCGTGGCCCTCGGCACTCGACAATTGGCGCAGTCGGTCAACACACCTGGACAACCCGTAGAAACACCCGCTCAGTCTACGAAGGACGCCACCAGCGAAGAACATCAGTCCCTGGCCCCGACAATCGACAATCTCTCCAAAAAAGAAGCACCTACTTTGGCGCCTTCCCAGGTAACCACTCAATTCGCTCCATCGGCTACGGCACATGGGGTGAGAGCGAGCGCGAAGGTGGACCAGAAGGATCGGATCACCCCATTTCATCAAGTAGCGGTCGCGAACCACTCCAACTCGGGGCCACTCCATCCAGCGGCGGCCCCCTTGCAGGCTCGACAAATCCCTTAGCCCAAGCGTGGAGAAGTGGCCTACGATATCTCTCGCGGTGGACAAGGCACCGCCCACGCACCGGATCTCAATCGTACGATCCTCTACTTGACTCTTCCCATTCCCCTGTACATGACGGCTGAAGAGCCTATGCTGCTATTGCTCGAATGTTGCCTAGAGATTCCGACCATTTGATCTCATTTTGGCGCTTTCTTGGCCATGACCGTTTTCCTTTTGTACAATACCCCAATATATACTCAGTAGTGCATTTACTCTCGCTTGTTTAGCTTGATTCAATAAGAGATATAAAGTCGGGTTCGTCGGCATTGGCATCATGTGATAATGCTACCTATTTGGTAATAAATCTGTCACTCTTTGAGCTTGGCTCCTTCTATCCATGTGGGTATATTAGTACCCACATGGACAGCTGTTTGAGGATCTACTGGATCCACGATAAGCAGTCGTCCACAGGGCAGGTGCTAATGATCAAAGCATAAGGTCATTAAATGCACTTAAGAACTCTAGCAATTATACTTGGGCTGGGTAATTTAATTGGAACTAAAGCATATTAATGAACGTCGCGATAGACAAAGAGAAAAGGCTTAGCTCCATTTTCTCCGTACCATACATGTCGTACTGCCTACCTGATGAAAACCATCCATCCATATCATATCATTTACTCAGTCAGATAAAGTCAGATCCGCGCCTTTCTCCAAAAACCCCGCTCTACTTTTGGGTCAAATTTGACCATGACCCGAAGTGAGTAGTCCAGCGACATTGGGACGAGGATGCGAAGGAAAAGCGCAGGACGCAGAGGGGAAATCAAACGAAACGCAATAGAGAATTGATCAAAGCACACCAGACAGATTATATCAGAAGAAAGAAAATGAATAAATGAGTCCCCTTCGCCAACGAAAAAAACAGAGATAAAGAGAGGGAAAAAAGCACCAGGAACACCGCCACCTCCACCGTCGTCTAGGAGATGTTTAGGAGATGATGAACGGAAAGGAGAGTAATTGTTCTGGAGCGAGAGTGATGTGCTCGTATCCATTATAGTGCGAGATAACTTTTTTTTTTTCTTTTTTCAATTCTCTCGGGTTGGATGTCGATATAGTGGTTTTGTTACTCGCCGTGACATGGGAGACCACAAAACAGATCTCGAAAAATCAACTCTTGCGCATCAAGAATCGACGGGTATCAAATAGGGCAGGGCAGAGCGGGGTTACAGATGCTGCAGGCAACAATGAAGGCAAAATACGGACCACCGAACCGCCCTCAGATCATGCTAGGTATGCAAATAAGAACCCCATCTACGCAGTGGGTTGGTGCTGAGGGGGCATTCGATTGCCCACAGGCATGCCGGGGTACTGCCCACCAGCCTGTTGTTGCTGCTGCAAGCCCTGATAATAGGCCATCTGCTGCTGCTGCTCGTTCGTCATGTAGCCTGGGTGGATGCCCCCAGGACGGGGAATATTCGACTGTTGGGGGTTGACACTGGCGTGGTTAACATCCTCGGGCGTCTCTGCTGGCACCTCCGGAGCTTCAACGCCATTTTCGTTGGTGGCGGGATCGGGAGCGTTGAGGCAAGCCTGATGTAGAATTGGTTAATTATGCTGGTCCCAGACCGAACGCGCTCTGACAACTAACCTGAATGAGATTCTTGCCCTCGGCCTTCGTCACCAGCGGTTGAAGCTTGGGAGTGGTGAAAGTGTAGACGAGACCGGTCTCGGACACAACGAGCAACAATACTTGAGTACCTGTGAGGACGGAGAGCTCGTACGCCTGTTTTGCGATAGCATTGAACCGTCAGCAACTGTCCAAAGTGATTGATTATACGAAACATATCTTGAACAAAAGGCTTGAATCGTAAAAGAATCAAGTATAAACAAAAAAAAGGGGGGGGGCATAGGAAATGCAAATACTCGAGAAACCAGGTGATAAGCGCGGGCAGGGAGACGCGAAAGTACGCACCTTCTTCATGATACCCGCCTTCCGCTTGGAGAAGGTGATGTGGCGACGCGATTTATCTTGAATGAACTTGATCTCAATCTTTCTGCGCTCGCGACCAGGCTTGTCATCGTCATCGTCTTCGTCTTCTGCGCTCATTCTCGAACGCTTGGGACCGCGGTTGTCAGCGGCGCCATTGCCGGCGGCCTGCTGCAAGTCGTCCTGGGTAGGAGAAGGGTTCTCCTCACCGACGGTGGTGATGTCGGCCATGATGGATCAAAATTAGGTGATAAAGGGCACAAAAAAGGATTAATCGGTTTGAGAAGCGAGTAAAGGTAGAACCCTGAGGGTTGTGAACACGAATGCCGAAAGAGGAATGATGCTTTTGAGGGGGGGAAGGATGACCAAATCGAGTAACGCGTTTGCTTCGCAGGGTTTGGGTTCAGGACGAGAAGGAAAGAAAATCGGGAGGAGAGTCGAAGAAGGCAAAGTGCCGGTTGGGACAGGCAGGCGGTCAGTCACGTGAATCAGTGGGTCTGGCAGTATCCACAAGTCAGTACAGTACCGTTACAACGGAATCCGTAGGTACCTCGGCCGGCTGTATCAGCGGGCAGGCCTGGCTAGGAACCTCCTGAGTAGTCAAATCACAATTTCCAGCAGGAGGATGCATGATATATCTCTGTACCCCGTGTTTGGAGTTTTAAAACTCAATAGTAAAGATAACCCCAATAAATTTATAGCTTAGAGCGAAGTTCATGATGATCCTTACAATAACACTCGGTACAGACGTAACGAGCTAATCGATTATACTTTGTCCAGACCCAGCGGTGGAAAAATATGGACTTGGCACTGCTAATGATTGGACGATCCCTTAGAAGGTCGATTTCGAGGCCAACTCACAGTTCGCGCTGTACCGTAATATTACCACTTGCGATTGTCAGGTCTTCACTTAGTGCCTTGTTGCTGCAGGATGCGGATTCGACTGGGTAGGACAACGTCCAATTCCTTGACCACTTTCGCTCGGCTACGTTATCTTAATCTTTAATTGCGGAGGCTATTGCAGAGTGCCTAGAAATTAGTGGAGGTGTCTGGCCAGACGAAAGTGCAAGAGCTTTGGAGCACCACCAAGTCGGCTGCATTCCATCCCTCGAGTCAGCCAAACTTTGGCCCCCCATTCGCCCTTTATCATACGCACCAGGCTGTCTCTCTGTATGTATGTAAGAATAGAACCTCAGTAGTCCAGTACATTCGACGATCAACGCACCACAATTGACAAGGTAGTCTCGCTATTAGCAATAGTCCATGTAATAATCCAGCCATAGCGATCACCTTAAGCCAAATCCAATAGTGCACGCGGTATCATATGGTCATACATCTACATCTACATTATGCATCGTGCAATATAAGTACCTCGATCACAGTTACTGCAGTGCCTTGGGTAGTTTTGATCAGGCTCTAAGGTAGCACGGGGATTGGCTGTTGGAGCTCAGCAGTGACTTCTCCAGTCAGCTCCTCGTGCGTCCTTCTTTAGGCTCTTGATTCAGAGTACTTAAAAGTTGACTTTTCTAGTGTGATATATCAGATAGCAGTGGCTTGCTGCTTAAATATGAAGCGATCGTCGAAATACTGAGAAGCTTATAATGAGAGGTAATACAATGAAGATAGATTCAAGTTTCTATGGACAGATGCAGTGGTAGCAGCCAAATCTAATCTAATACTCAAGTCATGATATTCCTGCATAATGACAAATGTTCAACGCTAATCTCCAGAAGCAGCGACACCAGCTCAGCCTGAAATTCTATTTTTACAAGACAGATATAAAGAAGAAGAAGAAGCTCTCTTGGGGGAGCGGGTAAGAGAAAGACTCGACCGGGATGAGAGGTCAGATCAAAGGTGAAAGTGCCCCAGCACAGGCAGATGAAAAAGTCAGGAACAGTCTAGGACCCTCGAACGGAAAATGCTGTTCGCTGAAAAACGACTTGATTCCAATCTTGAATGCGCCATTCTTGGCTCCGTCAACAACACAACGCCGGTCCAATCAACAAAGGAAGAATATGACGTGGAAAGTCGGCATTCGGGCAAGAACCCATTCTGGCACCATCGTTTCAACTTTCTTTCCTGTTTCTGTTGTGAGTTTTCCATCCTGTGGCCAAACATGGTTCCCAAAGGAGGTGATATAAGCAAAGGAAAGAAAGAAACAAGGCAAAGTGGGAAAAAGACATGTGCAAGAATGGAAATGAAAATCTTCACAAAGCCCGAGGACCAGCCTCAGTATTAGTTGAGAGGTTCGTTCGATCAGTGTGGATGGTTTAATGCTGCTTTCTCACAGCGTAATCATGTACACCAGCTCCACCGCCTCCCTTAGGTCCAAGCCATACAATTTCAATGACACTGTGGCCCTCATCCTCTTCACGCACATACCATTGGTGCACGTTGTCACCAACGACATAAGCTTCCCTCAACAACCAGCGGTCCTTGGTGACACCTGCTTGATCCTTGAGACGGAGAGGGCCCAGGCGAGCCTCATAACCACGAGGGTCTTCCTCCCAAGTCTTCTCAGTGTGATCAAAGTTGATCGCATCATCGGGGGTGTTTTCGTCATAAGTGTACTTGACAAGAGAATAGCCGTTGGTCATGACCCAGAACGTGCGAACGGACTTGCCAGTAGAGTTGTTGACATATTCCTCCTGGTCGAAAACCCAGCGCCGAAGGACTGATTTTCGACCTGCCGCGGCGGCCACTGTGGTCATCTTCACCACGTCCTTGGTATACCAACTGTTCCAGTGATGCAGAGACTCGATCTTCCGCCCAGACTCGTAAACACCATCGACTTCACCCTTCATGTCCATCTGGTAGAGCGAGGGCCAAAGTGTAAGAGGAGTTTCGCCGTATTTCTGTATGCACTGGCCAAGTTTCTGATCACCGGGCTGCTCACCCCATGACTGGCACTCATCGTAGTATTGCTCGAGGACATCGAGCAGCGGTTTGGAGACAAAGACACCAGCACCTCCGAAGGCAATGTGTCCGAAGGTATCAACTTGCCAGCTGGCTTCGGACAAAGCACCAATATAATGCTTTTTGTTCACATCGAAAAGCTTCAGTTCCTCGGCGACAGTGGGAAGGGATAACCAGAAAGTGTCATCATCGATAAAACTGACCCATGTGGTTTGAGGGCGCTTGGTTCGGATGTGCTCAGCAAACGCCTGGACCAGGCCGAAATAGCGAGCGGTGAAGTCAAGTGGAGACTTGATCAAAGTTAGGTCCAAGCCACGGTTACGGAAGTAAGTCATTTGCTTGTCCAGATCATCGTCCGACTCTGGAACAAGAACGATGATACTAGCCTTGGTGTTACCATAAGAGTACAGAAGCGAAGGAAGAAGGCGATCCAGACGGTCAGCAGTCGTAGCAAGGCCGAACAGGAGCTTGTCTGTTTCATCAACCGCATCGTCCGCGGCCACATCGACATCGATGATTGGAGGACATGGTAACGAAGGATCCTTGTTATCCGGCGAAACAACCATGCCACGTTCCATAACAGTCATAGGTGGAAGGACAGGAACATTGATGTCTTCAAGAGAATTGAATTCTGCTCTGGGGCTCACGAAGCGAGGACGGAAGTAGGCACGAGTATAATTCTTGCGAGGAAGCCATTCGGTGAATGGCAAGGGAGGCCTGATATTAGGATCTGCCTCGCAAGTCTTTGTAGAGTCAGGCGACGATGGTTGCAGCTGGATCTGAGGAGTTTGAGTTGTCGGCGCTACACGGTCGACTGGATGCTTGAACCGAAGGGCCGCATGATCGTAGCGTTGCATGCCCCAGAAGAACCCAATTATGGAGAAGAGCGCGATGAGAGGGAAAACGGTTTTGAGCCGAAAGACAGGCATCTTGGTGGAGTTATGAGGGTCAAGCGACTTTTTCCACATTAAAGTAATCGCGATGCTGCAGATTCAGCGGATTGAAGTATTATAACAGTGCGTCTATCCGTATTAAGAGCACATCAACGGAGAGCGAATAGTCGTAAAGTGGATGCGTATCGCACAGCTGTCCAGAACTTTGGAGATGATTAAGTGGGGTTCTTGCGTAAATGAGTGGAATTGGCAAGATCAGGAGAAATTCTCTCCGATATGCTCAAAAGACTGACAACGAGAGTCCGGCAGCGTCGAGACCTGCGACACGGTCACAAGGGGAAAAAAAGGAAGAAAAGAGCGATAGGCGGGATTGAAAGACGGTCCGGCGAGACTGTTCGCGGACACCTCAGGAATGGGGTGTCGAGAAGATCGTAAAGAGGTCCCAACAAAGAAGACAAAGAAGCAGCACAACTGGACTGTGTGTCCAGGGCTAGAGAAGAGAATCAGGCGGACGGGGATAGAAGGTCGAGGTTATGATTGTTGTCGAGGTCTGGAGGATGAGAGAAGAAGGGAATAGGGGAAGAAGAGGGGGAAAAGGGTAAAAAGTATGAGAGAAAGATGAAGACAGGAGACAGGCACAGGAACCGATCCAAGTGGGAATGCCAAAATACTGGACCACGGGTTGCGTTCGGGCCAAAGCTCCCACTTGGTAAATTAAATCTGTTAAATCAAATTAAGCTCAACCGTCGTATTTTGCACTTTCCTAGGTGGATTAAACGGGAGGATTGAAGAGGCAGAGATGATAAGGGTAGTGATCGCTTGAAGATTTTGTACTGGGATCTGACAGTGAGCAGCGGGAGGAATTGTCCCAATCGAGAGATTGCAGGTTTGCTGCAGAATTTCACCAAAATCCCAGAGAAGGAAAAATAAGGTATCAAGAGTTCTCTTACGGAGGCATGATTTTCATCCACACGAAATAATATATTATTTTTTATGGTTGTTGACTGTTTACGCCTCCCGCAATTTCTTCTTTTCTATTTTCCGATTTCGCCATCTACCCAAGTAGCAAGTACGTAGTAACAAGGTCTGGTTGCAGATCACTGGACCGAAAAAGAAGAATGTCGCTCAGATGTATGGACTGTCTCGTCGGGAATACGTGCTGCGGGTTCTTCCCAGCTCCGCCAAGTGGGTGGCTGGTATTTTTCACTTCCGGCCTCAAGACCCTTGCAATCAAGCGAATTTGACGATAGTGCATTCTAGATGGTGACTGTTTTGACACATTGTTGGTTGGACGATCCCGGCTTGACGAGCGTGTTTCTATAGGAGATTGCTCTACTGGAAGCAACACAAAACGGCGGAAGAGAGATCAGATCAGATCTTGATCCTGCTGATAACATATAATATATGAGAAAGCATCAAACTTTTGTTGGTTACTGTCCCAATGAGGAAAAGAAGTGGAAGGACAAGTGATACAACTGTATAAGCTGCAAGAATGTGGGATTCTCCCTACAGTAGTTACTCTTCAGTTGCATCTGACTCGATACCAATGATACCATGTCTTTGAAGGGAAGTTGATTGCGGAGCGAAATGTAGCATGTCTTATAGATTTATAACCTTATTATTATCACCCCATGTTGACATTGTTTTCCACTTTGATATGTCGCTGTGTGGTCAACCCCCCGAATGGTTTGACACCATACAGAGATATCCTAAATTTGTGGAATGTCCCAGTGGATGTTTGCGACCATTTTGTCTCAATCCCATGACTGATGTCATTTAACTACGTATTATTTTCTCTACTCCGTTCCCATGAAAGAGATATTCATAGCATGGTAAAAACTTTGAAAACCCGTTGCAGCATTTGCATTACTGATTGACTTCTGATACAGACCATGTCAACCGCCAATACATATGAAACACTACCACTCTTCACCTAAAGAGACTCTGTTGGCTGTATTAATGTGTCTCGACTGCGATTCAGAAAGACCCTTCAACGATCTGCGCCATTCCCGTGTCTCCAGCCACTCAGAGACCACCATTAAAAGGGCTGCTGGGTCCATAGCCCCACGGGCCGCGTGTCCTCTTCCACTGCCACTGTTATTTCTCCTATTAGACAGGTATTACTCTCAGGCTGTCACTGCTGCACAGAGAAGTACTCAGTAGATAGCCAAAAGTTAGGAACTACTATCTATATACGGAACAAATTCCGGAGTCGTGATCCTGTTGCAGAACGATACATAAATATGGGCACACCATAATCCTAGGTATTCCGTAACGGCCAATGATCCGAAGACTCATAATTATGTGTTTAATTCCATTCTCCTCTTGTAGCATGGTCAAGGACCATTGTAAAGAGCTAATCTGCCTGAGAACCAAGCTACCAGGGATATACCCTCGTCATCAACTAACGATGTTGCTTTAGAATTTGCCGCCGGACTGGGATCCCGAAGATGCTCCGCTCCATAGCAAGTGCGCCTTGATACCCATACTTATGACCTGACCAACTGCACATTATTATCCTCAGCAGACATCGTATGGAGTAACACTACCTTGTTACTAGTCTTCTCATCAGAAGGTGAATACTGGATAATTTCCTGTTATGCGCATCTCCGCAGTCAGTGGCAACAAAGAGAAATGGCAAATCTGAGCCTTCTGACTGGAGATTTATGAGTGGACTTGAATCCTTCTCGTGGTATCTGTGGGCCGTGACACTGTGGATCGGGATCGGCCTGCTTGACCCCATGAGAGTCTTCGTTACGATCCAATAATATACTTCAAACAATGCGCACTCGGGACGCGTGTACAGAATACGGGAGTACATCCAGCAACAGAATCCATAGAAGGGTACAACAACGAAGATCTTGAGAAGACGACACCTGCTTATGGACCCAAGACGCGAGCATCATCTGCCATGTTATCGCCTGATCAATTTATCCCCTCGTTTTATAATTGTATCGAGTCAGCTATACAAGGAAGATTCTGCACAGTATGTCCATCAGCATAATCTCCAGTTCCAGCTACTACTAGTACTCTGTAGTCCATACATGGTTATCAATACGACCTGCCATTTAAGCTTGAACATATGCCTTGGCAAGCCGTCACCCCCTTTTGCGTCTTACGTGTAGAAATCTGCACAAACATTCTCAACATCGTTGCACAAATCTACAAATCTGATGTAAATTACGCCAGTTACGTCAATGGACGGTTTTTTGAGCTAAATGTTTAACTATCCCACAATGCTGGACATCGCTTAGATAGACACAGACTACTAATACGTCCAAGTCACTGCAAATTTTGCGTGCCCCTGATGATCATCTTCATCCATGGAAACGCTCTGATTTCTGTTGTTGCCTCAACCCCTATTCATGATTGGAGGTTTGCGCCGATCCAAGCCATGTTCCATTAGATTGCTTTTTGCCAAGGCAACCGGTCAAGTTAAGGGTGCTTGTGGCGACCAATCTTGCGTGCTCCCTTCAGGGTTCGTGATTTGCAGTTCGTCAAGATCCACTCAAGCCTCAGGGTCCATCTGCCACTGAATTCTGACCACTTTGGGTAACCACTCACTACCGACCAGCCTACGGAGTACTATGGGGGTACTTGTACCTTACACAGTGCGTGCGCAAGGCATAGACTCCCTGCTATCACCACTACTCATGTGTATCTGCTACTCTGCTCCATAGAATGTTCACACCCATGTACTCCTCTGTCAATTCATCGTTCGCCGTCAGCGCCAGGGAATATAGTCCCGACGCACACCGTTTGCTCTAGATGCCACACCACTAACCAGCAACTTGGCTCTCAATATCTTTGCAGCACTTTCACAGACGATAAGCCAAGAACACCCTGCTAACTGATTATTGGACTAAGCGATATGCTGAGACATGGTACACTGCCAAGCGGAGGAGCCGAAGGGTTGGAAGGAACAACAAGTATTGTTTCGCAACTCTAGCCTACCTTGAAAGTATGGAGAGAATATGTCTCATTAAGTCTATCTAGATTCTAGGGTACCCTTCATATCTAAAGCAGCCGTAGGGATGGTCGATCCACATTTGTTCAGTCGCGTCACCTCTTTGGTACCTTAGGAGATGAGTATATATACCTTATCCTGATCATTGACTACTGTGTCAGCACAAGGACGAGGCTTGCGCAAATTCAGATCTCCCAATAAGGACCCCTATAATCCTAGAGCCCATAATCTAGAAATTTGCTAAATCCTGAGTTTGTCCCTCTCCTCTACATGGCAAGTATCGCAGATTCAACAACATGTATAACCCGTTTGTGTCATGCACGGGTTCCATGCAGACGTCAAGAGGAATAGCTATCGCCATTCCCTCCACTGTGCCATCTAAGGATATACAACCGCCATGTTGGACGAAATTGCCTCTAGTTTAGATGCACCACGGCTTGAGATGTGCCACCACTTACAGCAGTACCACCTCAAGAAGCCTGTACGCCATCTAACGCAGTCTGTCGTGTCACGTTCACCACTTGCTTTGAAGTAGGATCACGACATTGTCTTCCGGTGGTACCGGTCATGGCTGGTAAAGCAAAATTCTTCAGACTTTCACATATATAGCAACAGTAGCTTCCAGTCTGCTGGTTGTGGAAGGGCAAACTTTAATAAGTGCAGAGGTGTAATCGAGATCTTGTACTAAACGGAAGGGTTGGGTCCGTAAGAAGAGATATTCATTTCATCTGCCAATTAACACTTGCCGGCCTTAGTCCCAAGGGATGAGACGTTGGACTACCTATAGAATCCATGTAAATCAAAGGCGCAACAAGCGATACTGATTAAGGTTTGGTAAGAATGCATTCAAGCATTATTGTTATGTTCAATAGGATTAAATGTAAATTTCTATCATCGTAATATCTAAGGCTTCTCAATCAGCATCGTAAGCACCTTCTCGGTCCTCGAAATTCATGAAGTCATCTGAAGCTTGATCGCCCATGATTATCTTCCATGCATCCTTCACCGCGTCAATGAGCGCATCGTCGAAGGCGAGATCAAGGCTAGGAGGCGGGAAGGAGAGTATATTCGCTGACAGCGAGCTTCTTTGGATTCTAGAGGTACCACGAACGTCCTGGCTAAGGCGCCCCAACTGTGTAAAACGCAAGGACCACAAGATCTTTGCGTTGAGATCTGCACTGGACTGAAGGAGTTTGTGTATAGCACTTTCAAGAAGCGATTGACCATCAGGTCCAGGTATGGAGACACTAGAGTACAAGACACCTGGTATTCGTCAGCGGCGTGCCAGTCATTGTCAATGAGTGGAATATTAAGCATAACGAGAAAACGCTCATTATCAGGCTGTCAGAGGTATGGTCTCATCAATGAAATTACAGGCAATGTAGATAAGTATTCAAGAAAGTCATCATATGAGCGTAGGAGAAGTGCTTCGTAAGAAGAACGAAAAGGATATGCAACTTACTTTGTCCCGATGGACACTCGCCAGTCTCGCTGGAGTGAACCAGAATATATACTGGGGCCGAGTCCTCTTTTTGACCTAAAAGAGCTCCTGGGAATACCACAACTGCACCCACAGGAATTGGGCCACCTTCTGCAGCAACCGGAAAGAGACTTTCCAGAGACGAAGAGACAACCGTGATTGACCGCGAAGCCTTTTCATAACGAGTAGGGTCCAGGACATTCGCAGGAAGATCCCAGTTTGAACCAACTAGGAAGCGAGTTCTAATCGACTCGTCATTGGCAAGTTGAACTTCTATAGGACCGACGTCGCTATCATCAGCCTCAACGGAGTCATTTCTGACCGACTTGATCCCAGAATCCAGGACGTACACTCCGCCCCCGACTGCGAGAGCTCGGCAGCCTACTTGAGAGATCTCGGATCCTCCACCCCATTTGGCAACCAAGCTTCCAAATCCAGGACCGAAGACACCGATAGAGGTTAAGTGTCTCTTGATGCGCGTTACCGCATATTCGGCTGACGTCTGGGTTGGAGAACTCTGGGCCAATGAAAGTGATAGAAGGGGATCGTGAAGCTCGGCAGGGACTTGAAAATTGGAGGTGAGATAGTCCGGGAACGACCCGGTCAGATCATCCTGTTCCGACGAGCTTTCATCATCCTGTTGAGGCTTGGCAATGTGCCGGAGGAATCTCATCAGCGTTCGCTTTGATTTAACGCTGATCACGTCATCGGCGAAAACATCTTCGCGGCTACTCGGCACACGGTACAAATCTGAGAATGCATTCACAGCCGTGCTACTGCTCGCAGAAGCCAAGTTGCCCGAAGGCCTGTAAATCCACCAGCTTCCAACAGCCTGAAATTCAAGCTGGCGGTAAACTTTCGAGGACACCAGCGTGGGCAACAATGCAGATCGACAATAAATCAGTTGCGGTGACAACGAAAGTGTGTATGCTCGAGAAGAAGCTAGCTGAGCATTGCACTCCTGTGTTTGCCCAGGCCTCAAAATGGACGCGTCTTCAAAGGGGAAAGACTTCGGTTCTAGCTTATCAACACCAGTCAGCAAATAATAGTAGCACAAAATAAGGACAGAAATGCCGCAAATTACCTTGATTCACTTGGGAAACCCACTCTTCAGCTTCCTGAAGGCTGAATGCTGCCTCAGAGCCTCCATAATATGGGTTACGATCAACGTGAAGTACCTTCTTGCCTGAGCGGGAGAGGGCCCTAAAAATGGTAAAGTCAGCGACAGAACGAGTAGGGCAGTTGCTGATAACCGACTCACAATGCCAGAAGTGACTGCGCCAGCCCTGTGCCAGAGATTGTTACATCCCATGGCGTTTCTGCCAAAGACTCCATCCTGAGAATGGAAATTGCAAGGCGCACAGAGCTGGGGGGAAAGGTTCAGTGTGATGCTATATGATGAGCAAACCCAACTATCATCACGTCGGGTGGCAGGCAATGGAGCACTTCCTAGCAAGCAGGAATCTCCTGCCCATGAATGCGGTGGAAGTTTTCATCCGTCCTTGAAAGGAAGAGCTTTAGAGGAAAATAAAATAGAAAGCGACGGAGGCACGCAGAAATACTTCCGTCCTGACCCGCACCCATAGTGCGGCACGTGACGAAGCTCGAGCCATATTCTTCGTGGTCAAGATACTCAAGCAGCAAGATACACTCTTCTCGACTGTTAGTTTCTCATGTTCGCTCGGCTCCTTTCTCGCTGATGAAAGCTACTCCTCTATGGTCTAGCATTCTGATGCTGTCGTGCTCCTCATCCGAGCCGATCTGCTAGATAGATTAATCTACGTTGGCTCTCTGAACGACGAGTCGAGCTATGTCAGAATTCGACTATTCCAAATTAAGTTAGACAGCTTCGCTACCTTAGCACCTTTAAAAGATTGCTCTCTCGAAGGATCTTCCTTTTTTCTAGCACACCACTCCCCAGTGCTCTGCACGGCATTCTGCGCTTTACTATAGCAGATTCGTCTCATGCCGACAAGCCTTCATTGGTCTTGTCCTTACAGGGAGTGGTAGATCGGATCATATCACTCTGTATCTGCTGCTCCGGATGGAGACATCTGATGGAAGCGGTTCGTTTGTAGTGATACATTTCGTCATACTGTAGCTCTCTGTGCCTTGGAAAAGGTAGACAGATGTCATACATGTAGAAACCTTAGTACAAATTCCTAATGCCTGAGTGAGCATGGCGTTTCGTTTCGAGTGCTGCGTTTCTTGTCACCACGACGTCAAGTGGTACAGCAAGCCCGCATACTGGAGGTTTAGGCTGTTATCCTTCGAGTATCTCTCTCCAGGCTCCGTCCGACAAAGGGGTGTGATGAAGATAGCGACGGCATGTGCATATCGCTTCGATCCTGAAGTACGTCTGCGATAGACCGCATTGCAGCTCGTCTCACTCCTCGCCTTCTTCCACGACTTTGGCGCGAATAATCTTGACCTCATCGACCGGCCTATCCTCGGAATTTGTTTTGACGAGTCCCATTCGCTGTATTACTCGCATTCCGCTTTTCACACGCCCGAAAATTGTGTGCTTTCCATCTAACCACGGTGTAGGCGCAAGGGTGATGAAGAACTGGCTGCCGTTGGTGTTGGGTCCACTATTCGCCATGCTCAAGACGCCAGCTCCTGTGTGCTTGAGACCCGGGTGAATCTCATCCTCAAACTTCTCGCCGTAGATTGAACTGCCTCCCCTGCCGGTACCAGTAGGGTCGCCGGTCTGTACCATGAAGTTGGGGATAATGCGGTGGAAAATTATGTTGTTATAATAACCTCGTTGTGCCAGAGTTGCGAAATTCCTGCAAGTCTTTTCAAGTATATATCAGCATGTGAAGAGCGCCCAGGTCGAAAAATAAGTTCCTTGCTTACCTTTGGCGCATGCTCGTTGTAAAGCTCTACCGTGAACGAGCCCTGGAATACGTTAGAGGAGCCAATTGCTGTGTGGCCAACAGGATAGTCCCTACCATACTCGTGTCAAACACCACGTCAGTCGCCATTCTTTTCTGTAAGTAGCTAAACGAGGAAATCGGATATCTTCAAGATCGTGCTTCTAACAGAGCAGAAGGGTTGTATTCGAGCTTTCTAATGATCCCGCGGCGGGGATGGAGATACTTGTCTTGGCATCGATCATCGGGGAACACAGAGCTTCCACGCTTGTCACTCTTTGGTAAACACAGCGTCCTACAGCTATGACCTGATTCCCAACCATAGCGCAACCAGATGAATATTCTCGACTTAAGCTGACGGTAATCTCTCTTTCTCTACTTTTCTACTTGTGGCCCAGAGTCTCGCAGTTGCCATGGACGAGGTCAGTCCACTTGCGGAGCTCTTGGGGCAGGCTGTCTACCATTATACGAAGATTAAACCTTTCCTACCGACATACGGCCATCTGCTCGTTTCGGCCCTCTTTCCTATTTACATTGGCGCCCATGCATCCCTTTCGAGACCCTCATCCGCTGCCAAACCTCCCAAGAAAGACACGAATAACAACGAAATAGATGAGGAAGACGAGGAAGGACTCGGTCCCGTTCAGAAGATGGAGGGCCTTGAGCCCAGTGATGCGCTGATGTTCCCTTTGACTGCCGGCCTCACTCTGGGTGGTCTGTACTTGATCATCAAATGGCTGGATGACCCAGCTATATTGAACAAGGTCCTTAGCTTTTACTTTTCTCAGATGGGCCTATTCTTCGCAGTCGCATTCCTGAAGGACTGTCTTTTGGTCTTTCGATCCTTTATTTTCCCGCGGCGATATCGATACGCTGGCAAGATTTGGAAGGTGAAACAGTCGGAACGAGTTTTCATAGCCGCTCAGCAGGATATTGCCCAGGGATCCGTCCAATTCCGCCATACTCCCCTTCCCAGAATCCTTGGCTCGATTCCCTTACCTACTGCCTTGGTAACAGGCCTTTGGGTGTGTCGCAATGTCGCGTATCAGAGGGTGAAGCTGCGGGCTCACGTGCGCGGCCTCTTCACCGGCGAATGTCTGGTGGGCCTGCTGGACGTAATCAGTGCGCTGTTGGCCCTTTCTGCTGTTGGATTTTTCGCATTTGTGACGAAGCCATGGTGGCTGACGAACTTTCTGGGGTTCAGCTTCTGTTACGGTGCGCTGCAGTTCATGTCGCCGTCAACATTCAAAACTGGGTCACTTATTCTGAGCTCGTTGTTCCTCTATGATATCTACTTTGTTTTCTACACCCCGTTGATGGTGACGGTCGCTACAAAGCTAGATGTACCAATTAAGCTCTTGTTTCCCCGCCCACCTGCTCCCGGTGAAGCTCCGGACGTTGTTTCCTTGGCAATGCTGGGACTGGGGGACATTGTCATTCCCGGTATGATGGTGGGACTGGCGCTCCGATTTGACCTGTTTCTCTACTACAAGAAGAAGGGCATTGAAAAAGCGCGGCTCGAATCCAAGGGGCAGGAGATCGTCAAGCCCCAATACCAGTCTGCAACTGGCGGCTGGGGTGAACGTTTCTGGTCTTGGCCTGTGGCACCACGTGGACGTGAGCTAGAGCCCCCGTATCAGGATGCAAAGTCCTTTCCCAAGCCTTATTTCAAGGCCAGCCTGGTTGGGTACATTGCCGGAATGATATCGACCCTTGTGGCCATGCAATACTCCAACCACGCTCAACCCGCTCTCCTTTATTTAGTTCCTGGAGTGCTTTCTTTTTTGTGGGGAACAGCGCTCCTCAGAGGAGAACTCCGCGAGATGTGGGAGTTTTCCGATGCCGAAGAAAGCGAACAGGATGTTACAAACGAGAAGGAGGAAAAGAAGGAAGAAGAAGCTCCAGGAAAGACCACAAAGAGTCTCTTTCTGCGAATCCTGTCAGGCGATATCAAAGCATTATACTCCGAAGCGCCTGAACATGCCACGGAGAAAAAGGAGGAGAAGAAATCCGAGAGTGGGGAGACCAAGGATTCGGCACCAGCGGACGGAGGACCAGATGACAAAACGCAAGGTGCAGACGAGGAGAAGGACTTGGATTTAGTTTCAATATCCATCTCGCTACCCAGGAAAGGCCAGACCGGATCACGCAAAACTCAGACCAACAGGGTCGAGTCACCCACAAGCGAGAAGAGCTTGTCTGTCCCGAGTGCAGCAAATCGTGATGACGAGCCACCCGCCAAGAGACAGCGAAGGAGTCCTAGAATCGCCGAAGTCAGTGCCTCTTAGTGTTGCATTTTGGGAATGATTTCTACAAACGGGTTGCATGGGATGTTTGCGTTTTGCAATTTGGTTCGGATAGATGGAGTTGGGACGGACTAACTCGGCATGCATACCATACGGGAAGATGGAAAGTAAGGTAGAATGGTCTGTTTCAAAAGTTCCTTCAAAAATTTCAAGTGGTATCGTCGTCGTCCTTAGAAGTTAAGATATACAAGTCAACCCGCACGAATCAGCAGCTATCAAGAATTCGTTTCATATCATCCCATCGTTGCGCGGAGATGTCAACCAGCTGCTTCAGTTCTCTAGTATCCACTGCCCATCCACCGTTCTTCTCCATTTTCACGATCACTGTCTTCCCTTGTCCCGCGTTGTCTTTGTCGACCACGATGCAAATCCTCTCCTGGCTCAAACTCTCCTCGTACCCATCAGGGTCAGCGAGTATCCACCTTCGCTGGATGCCTTTCCTGTTACTTTCCTCGATCTTCTTCTCTTCTTCAGCATCGGGGATAATGACCTTTCTCCACCCAGAAGCTGCATCTGCCTCGAAGACGCAGAAAGAGCTGGCGACAGGCATACCTCGCAGCGACAGTTTGCGCGCCTCAGAGACCGCCTCCGAGCACACAACCATCTCATTATCGACGTCCCACCATGCCTTGGGCAATTTCGTATCCCGAAGTGCAGCCAATACGGCGGCCCAGGCAGCATCAAAAGGATTGCCTGCTAACGAGATGATCATCACATCAATGTAAAGCACCCAGAAGGCCTTGATTTCTCTGCTCTTGACACCCGCATCGCCCTCTTGAGCATCCACATCCATCTGCTCGTCCTCATTATGCCGTTCCAACTCCTCTGCTCCGAAGTTCGGCGGCTGATACCAGATTCGCAGATCCTCTGCGCGTACTAAGCGGCTGCTGTGTAGGAGTGATAGGATCTGATGTGACAGCGACTGCGCCAGCGCTGAGGGTGGAGCGCCCGGGATAAATCCTGGTGCGCAGCCAGTGCTAAGTGAAAGGTTCGGCACGAGCAAATTAAGGTCTTGGATGTGTGATTCGTCGTCTTCGTCTTCATCATCGTTTTCATTGCTGGCTGCCACAGTCGGCTTCTCAGCGATGTCGGTTAATTTCCTTCGCTTGTTCGTAGAAGTAGGTGCCGATGCTCGCGATACACTCCACGAGGCAATGTCATCGGTATGAAGAATCTCAGCGCGAACCCCGCAGACCGCCGCAGTGTCACCGATTCTGACCACGGCACTGCCGTTCGTATGCGTCAAAGAGCCGGTATTCGCAGAAGTAACGCGGAACTGGGTGGTAGAACGGCCATTGGCTCGAATAGAGGGCTGATTGCTTGATGAAGGAGGTGATAGATGGGCAAGAAGGTAGGCGTGAGGTTGGAGCCGGGCAAATTGAGATGGTGGTAGTGAGAGGGATGGCGGGACTGACGGTGCAGCTGTCGATGCTGCAGCAGGAGCCATTCTAGAAAAGGACGACAATCGAATGTGCACGTAGATCAATGAGCAGTCGACGGTTGACTTCTTTGACTTGTCGCTTGTTCTGCGAAAAGAAAATAGTGCAGCATTGAATTACTCTAGTTTTATGCGGCAGAATCGTCTGCACCTCCGGAAGCGGTGAGGGCCTTAAATCCACGACACGTGATATAGGAGTATGAGCTCAACTCCTGTCAACCGTTGAGAAGCTACAGTTTCTCACTCCAATGGTTTGAATACGAGACGTATCTACTTATTTGCCCATATGATGCTCGGATCTAAAGACTTATGAAGAACAATCAAAACCGGTGTTCATAACCCTTCGACATTGTTCGAATGATTGGACACCCTGACGAGTCTCTTATTGTGCATCTGTCTTGCACAAGGAGCGTATTATCCTGGTTTCTAGTAGTTGCGCAGTGTAGGTCATCGAATTGGTAATTGCATCAGGCGAGATGCCAAGGTTAAACCTCAAAGGCGGAAGAGATGGAACAGGAAATTAAACACGTGAAGCCATGCAAATGAACACTAGCTCAGGGGCCAAGGTTCATGATGCAATCGATGCTGGTTCTTTAGTACACTGTGATAGACCAGCTCAGCCAATGTCACTCTCCGAGTATGAAGTCAAAAAGATCGGCGCTTTATCTTCTAATTATAAATACGAGAAGCCGTCGATCCCATTGGTTCCCGAGCGACTCGGTTGAGATCGATCCCCAGTGCAGTTTGCAGTTGATGTTCGAGACTGAACATGAGTGTCCAACTGCATATCTCTATGTGTCGGCTGAGCTTGCTGCTTTCACTAACGAAGAGAAAAGGCAACGTATATGGTCGATAGGAGCGTGGAAAGTCCACAATCGCTGGCCATCACGCAAGAAGGCCCTCTTTCGACGCTTTCGGGTCGTTTGATTGGAGTGGATCACAATTATTAAGGTTGCGAGCTCATGCCTTCCACCTTCTCGTGTTGATCGATATATGACTCGTGTTCAACCCTTTTCTCTTAGGCGAAACCCCACGAAGATCTGGTCATCGTTTCCATTTTTACTTCTCCGCCCGAAATGCGGATGGTGAACTGGTTCGATCTCAAGATCAGGAGCACATCTTGTACATGTGGCGCCCTGGGATGTATCGCAGTCTCGTATTCGTCAGGAGGAGCCAATTTTATGGCCCATCGCATAGTCTGTGTTGGGCGCACGGTCGACGGACCTTCGTTTGAGATTTGCTAGAAGCCGGACTTATTAACATTCAAATGGTATCTCTTTTGGGGTAGTTAGTTATAGAAAAGTATGACAAAGGGTGGCTGCTGTGTACCCTATCAATCATGAGATTGTGGTATAGTCGGGAAATGCAGCGAAGTCAAGATGAGCTCGGCTTTATTGCAAGTCCGAAGCATGGAGGCCTGTCTCGCAGTTCACCTGAGGACCGACAGACGAGAGATGCTCTAGTCAGCCCTTGTTCGCCAACGTGCATAGAGAACGCCTTCGATTTTGCCGGCAGTAATGATTCGCCTGTCATATCGCCCTTGTCACCGAACGACCATGCTCGAGATCACTTTCTGGCGCGAAGAAGACGAGATGACCGCCTTTCTCTCCCCGGTGGAGGTACCCCGTCGTCTTTTCAGTCTATTATTAGATGGGACACTGATGATGAAATCAACTGCTGGAGCGATGCGGCTACAGCTGGCGCAGTGCTTTCTCTGCTGCACAAGGAACCACCCAGTCCACCACCTTGCCCGCAGCCTCGATTTGATAGAAATGCGTCAGATGAGCAAAGATTGACATGTGTTGTCTGCTTCGATGACCTCGAAAATGGATGTTACCCACAGCCTCCTATTGCAGCTGGCTGCGATCATGGATTCGTGCCCGGCATGCATATCTGCTTCACCTGCCTTCGTCGAAGTCTAGACAAACAGCTTTCGTCAGGCGCTACTTTTCTGTCATGTCCAATTTGCCTTGAAAAGCTATCTGACGAGGAGGTACAACGGTGGTCAAGCAGACGAACCTTCCAGGCGTATGATACAAAGCGAACTTGGCAAATCCTGGAAGAAGATGCCGAATTCGTCCCATGTGTCAGGAAAGATTGCGGATACGGACAGCTACATGCTGGTGGACTCGAGGACCCAATCGTTGTTTGCGGTTCCTGTGGCACCCGAACCTGCTTCATTCATCGTGATACAGTTTGGCACGAAGGGTTGAGCTGCGAGGAGTACGATCGGCTACTCAATCCGAGACGCGCCTCGCCGGAGATACGGATGGACGCCGGCAGAGAAGCTCGGCGTTTATTTCCAGGATTAAACAGACTAAGGACACCCCGAAGAGAGGCTGAGAGTGATCCAAGGCTCGGATACAGTTCTGGAAGGCCGCGTGGTCGGCTAGATCCGACGAATGAGGAGCTTTCAGGCAGTCGAACGATTCATGAGCTTTCCAAGCCATGCCCGAACTGCAAGGCGCAGATGGAGCGAGCTGGGGGATGCAAATTCATGCGATGTAAGCACAGTGTTTCCCAGTCTGGTATATACGTTGGCTGATGGTCGCTCTGGACAGGTTGCTTATGTCGACAGAACTGGTGTTGGGATTGTGGTATCCAGTGGCAGCCAGGCCATCTTGAGATTGACTGTCTTCACCAGAAAATATAGAATAGAATACTAAGGCTCCAAAATGTCTTCCTTGTTACTGCTGGACAGAGTAGTATTCAGCATCCGTCTCACTGCATCTATGGCTACGAACATTATCGTGCTTTATCTGGCAATTCTCACTCTGTAATCCAAAGCTGACAGTGTTGCATTCAGCCCCCTCATCAGTGATTATGCTTGATTGCTTGTTGACTGAATCATTCATATGCATAAATCTCCGCTAATGCAGGCCTTTATGGCGTCGTCACCTTCTTCTTATCCTTTGGACGTGTGATTGGGGGAAAACCATAGTGGTTGGCGCTAAATCCAACAATCTCACTCGTTGTTTCTTCGCCGGTTAGCTTGAAGAACAGCGGAAGAATATCAAGGCAGTGTTACAATACCTTTTCTAAAATGTGATAGGACAATCACTGTACACATGCTCTGGACTCTCTGCCACACCCGACGGGCACTGTGCGGATGCACTTTATCTAGCCTTGGTTGTTGACTCGAGCACGGAGTACTTATGCTCTCCTTGCTAGCTGATTTTGACACAAGAGCTTGTTTCCCCCTCATCACAAACCAGACCAACCATAATGATGAGAAACTTTTCTCATCACATCGTGCATGCCAACATGGCAAAACACGTTGGATCACATATGGAGCCAAGAAGGCCGTAATCTGTGCAGCGGTAAGCTCGTCGCTCCCCTCTTCCCACGCTTGCAATGAAAGCTCTCACACAATGTACTTCTGCACCTTTAATTTCCCAGTTGGTCGCTGATATTCCTGATTTCTCTCTGTACAGCTATACTTCCATATCATAACTGGCAGTAGTCTTCTAATTACACAGATCGATCAAGATATTAATAATGCCCTAATTGCTCATTGGTGACCTTTTCATCGAGTCATAGGACC